TATTTTTTTCGAAATACATTATTCCATATTATTTTTCAGGCCAAAAAAAACTTTCTGTAATTATTTTCTCCCTAATTAGGTATATACGTATATTAGATATATTGTAAATATATATTGTAATATACAATATATATATATGACTCAAATATGTTATTTTATATTATTTTTTTTAAATATTTTAATACATATTATTTTTTAGGCCAAACTTTGTATAATTTTACAAGATACATTTTACAATATATTTACAAGATATATTGTAAATATATAAACATATAACTCAAATATATTATTTTATATTATTTTTTTTAAATATTTTAATTCATATTACTTTTTAGGCCAAACTTTATGTGTATATAATTTTTGTCTAACTAATAAGTTATATATAATGTTATGCAAAATACTGTCTCGAGTGGGCAAGACACCTGACATAACCACATATATGCGTCCTATGTGATAGTAGTACAACGAATATGTAAACATACTTCGTATTCGGAGCACGCTTTTAGTGCTGTTAGACCACTTGTTTATCACGACGCCCTTGGGTCTACTATATATGTATATATTGCAACATATATATACATATATATGTATATAAAGATATGTCGTACACCCTGTCAGCCCTATTAACTATGAAAAGGAAAAGGGCATTATTATTATGACACATTGAATCAATCACAATTAGGAAATTTCTCTTTTTTTCACACTTAACCAACCTGTTATTTGTTAAGTAAGTCAATAATTCAACCGAAATATTTCATTTATAAAAAATATTCCTCTTTCTGTCTTCTTCTTCTTTTATTTTTTTCTTTTTATTTCACCGTTTTATATTTCCCAAAGATAATTGTAGTTAGATAACATATTTTTTTTTAGTTTCCCCCGTTCTTTTTATTACTGTTTTTATTGGGTCAATATTTTAAAATGCTTTTAATGGAATCAAATTCACGATCAGTATATAAATATTGTATAATAAAATATCAAATATTAACATCCTATTAGTTTGTGTAAAACAATTGAAAATACCTACACATGTAATTATAAATACTTTGATCATTTAATTTATTATATATTAACAATATTAACGATTTATGAATATCAAAAATAAATATTCATATTTATAAATGTGAACATATTTAAAAAAAACTAATATCGTGAGTACGAAATGAAAGTGTCAAAATCAAGTATGAATAATTGACGGAACGATCAACAAATTCTCTCGCATTTTCTTTCATGTAAAAACTTGTAAATTGTTGGTGGTAGTGGTGGTGGTGGTGGTTGGAGGGGGAGATTACGAAAACGTTTTTAGAAAGAAAATCAACGTTCGAAGAGTTTTTTTTTTTTTTTCATGTCTTCTTACCACGAAAACATTATACCTTAATATTTTTTTTCTTTTTCCATGGTTCTGTCTTTTTTCCATCGTATATATTTGCAATCGTTACACACCACCATCACTACCACCACCCTGTTCTTTGTGTTCTCTTATCCCAAGTTGATCGCATAATCTAAAGGAAAACGTGCGTAGATTGACACGAACCGATAACGAGAACGGATGAGAACAAAATTATGGGGTGGGTGGGGCGGTTGGATGGGGGTTGGGTTCTTCTTCTTTTTCTTTTTTTATTTCTTTTTCTTAAGCCTAGTTTAACAATCTCTCGATCTTTTTATTTCTTTTTTTTTTTTCTCCCCCTCTTTTTTCTTTTATTTTTTTTTCTCTACAAGGTGAACAAATTTTGCACGCAATTATCATTATTGTATAATGATATTTTTTGTGCTATTAAATGATTGTTATACGAGTTAAGAAAATGTGTAACCAAATTAATGGTAGGATCCTTCGAAAACGATTAACCGTAGATCGTTTAAATCTAATCTTGTCGCAATTAAGAAAGTTATAATAACGTAGGAGAGTTTATAGTGTTGTTTTATAGGAGAAATATCTCTACATCAACGATGTGATATTTCTATTATTATTACTATTACTACAATAATTGAAACATACTGCAAAGTATATTGATTAATTAAACGCGTTAATATCTAACAATAAATATACACTTCATTGTATTGAATTCTTAAGGATTGCGAAAAGAACATTTGTTAATGAATATTAATCAATAATAATTAATCTTGATAACGAAAACAGCAAAATATTTTCCATGCGTAGGTTGTTTAAATCAAATAAAAAAAAATATTGAATTTTTTCGTAAATAGATAGAAAAAAAAACTTTTTCGCAAATTATAACGCTTATTTAGCTTGATTAAACGATAATCTTTTTCTGATTACAATAACCATTTTACTCTCTCGGAAAATATCAGAGCACGAAAAACTCGTAGGAGTAATTTTCATCCTGGATTAGACTATCTCTCTCTCTCTCTCTCTCTTTTTTTTGCATTGAAATTTATTTTTCGACGGGGACGGGGGAAGGTAAGGTAAAGTGGTGGGGGAAAGAAATCACGAAATAAAAAAAGAAAAAAGTGGATTTTAATCGAGCACTTGTATCGTATCGATGCGAAAAAAAAAAAAACAAAATAATATAAAAAAATATAATAGTTTCAATCAATCGAACAAGAGATACTAGAACCGACAGGTAGTGTTGTTATAATATAGTATTGGCATCTAATAGTTACATCTGATTGTCAAAAACAAGACTCGTTACGATTGCCCTAAATCTTTTTTCGCGATAGAATAGAAAAATATCAATTTATATATATATATTAATCGTATTTATATTTATTTATTTATTTTAGTTAGACGTCACACGTAGATTTATAACATAGTATTGGCATCTAATAGTTACATCTGATTGTCAAAAACAAGATTAGTTTGGGGGGAAGGTAAGGTAAAGAGTTTTGACAATATAAATAAATAAATATAAATATATTATGTTAATATAATAAATGTTCTTGTCCAAAATTTTTCTAATATTATTAAGTTCGATCTTAGGGATATTTTTTTGGACAGGTTTTAATTAGATTCATCTAATTAAATTAGGTTTCAATTAGGTTCATCTAATTAAAACCTGTCCAAAAAAATATCCCTAAGATTAAACTTAATAATATAAATATATTATATTTATTTTAAAAATATAAATATATAATAATAAGTAAATAATATACATTTATATTTATTTATATATTTCAGTTAAACGTGTCACGTAGATTTATAACATACTATTGGCACACAATAGTAATTACATCTGATTGTCAAAAACAAGACTCGTTACGATTGTCCTAAAAATCCATCGGATATGACAAAGAAATATCTACTTAAAATAAATTCAATCGTATTTATATTTATTTAATATATTAATTAAACGTAATGTCAGTTACATAAAACGTGTATTCTCACAATTGTATCTGAATGTATTTATAATAAATCTCATGAAGAGAAATGGCAATGGTAGCGAGAGAGTAATGAGGTAGTGGGGCTGATTAATAGAAGAGAATAATATAAAAGAAACGTTTATTATAAACGTTGGTTATTATCTTTTTTTTTTTCTGTTTAATTGTTTAACAGACGGAATACGACAAAGAGCCACGATTCAGCGAACACTGGGATCGTTTGCAAAAGGAATTCACGTGTTGCGGTGTAACCGGGCCTCGTGATTTTGGATCCTATTGGCCAAAGACGTGTTGCGGCGGTATTACAAATATAAATATCACCGATACCTGCCAACAACCATATTCCCGTGGATGCGACGAATCATTGTTAAGATGGTTAAGAGAAACATCCGATCGATTATTCGTATTCGGTTTTTGTGTAGTGGCATTTACGAAGCTGTGTTTCCTCGGTATATTGCGTTACGAGATACGCGAGATGATACAGAAGATACGTATGTTACGTGAACCACCACCACCTGCTACAACATTTGCCCAGCCGCCATTTTCCCAAGTGATGTCCGAACCAACAACAAATAATGGCAGCATCGTTAGACGAACAACTTTGCCTAACGCCGTTACTCCATCCGGTATGTCTTATCTATTTATTTATTTATCATATTTAACTTAACACTTCTTTTTCTTTTTCTATTCCTTTTCGTTCATACATTTTTTTCTTAAGTAAGATCGAAAGAATAGGGTGGGGGGGAGGAAGGGGGAGAAAATAAAATAAAAAGAAGTAACGTAGAAATGAATGGGGATGATAATGGTGACAATATGGTTGTGGTCAAATTTCGTATCAATTACGAACCCCGTTCCCTACTTTTTTTTATTTTTTTTTCTAAACGAATTCTTTTCGATAAAATGTTTTTCTATTTTCTTCATTTATATTACGATCGATTTATTATAATAATACATTTTTCATTTTCTAATATCGAAAGAACGAGAAATAAGAAAAAAAAGAAGTTGTTTGAATAAAAGAACTATGGGAAATTGAAAAGGGGGACGATGGTGATAATAATCGTGGACAAAAATTTCGTACCGCTGTCCTTTTTTATTCTTTTTTTTTTTTCGAAACTAATCCTCTTCAACAAAACATTTTTCTATTTTCTTCATTTATATTACGATCGATTTAATAAATTTTTCATTTTCTAATATCAAAAGAACGAGAAAATGAACAAGAAAAAAAGAAGTTTGAATAAAAAGAACGATGGGAAATTGTGGGGGGGGGGAGAGGGTGAACGATGATAATACAATCGTGAAAATTTTTCATACCAATTCCCCCCTTCCCCCCTCGTGAACCCCCATTTCTTTTAGTTTCTTTTTTCCGAAACGAATCCTTTTAATAGAAGTGGCTATGTAAAAAAAAAAAGAACAAAAAGGGTGGAATGAAAAAACGTGAAAGAAGGAGAAATCGCTTTTTATATCTGACAACTCGTAATAAAAATGATCTATCATTGGATATATACTTATAGAGATGGTTAGAAAAGATAAAAAAGTCAAGATAGAAAAGAAGGTTAAAGAATTTTTCTTCGAACGGGGGGAGAACAAAAAAAAACCTAATGTACCATACCCCTATCATAACATATAAATATATATAAGAAAAAGGATAGTGATAAAAAGATATGAGCCGTTAATTTTGAAAGTGGCCTAACTCCATTTGTCAATTATTTTCGATTACGCATGGTTACATCTACAACTTCAAATTATCTATCAATACAACATTTAAGATTACTTATATTCCGAGTAAATACGGTAATTCTGGACACATATGTTTTCAAAGTTAGTTGAATAACTGTGCCGTTTATTTTGAAAGTGGCCTAAGTCCATTTACACTTAAATTACTGTTACTTCAGTAGCATAATATAAACGCAATATAACAAAAGTGTTAATAATAATTTACTGTTTGTCCCTCGAGATTATTACAATATTATCGAAAAGTGTCGGAAAGGTAATAACTTTATTGTACATGAAATGAAACAAGAAGATTTTGAATCAACAAAATTATTAGAAGACGCAATTTTTATAAAGGGTATAAAGAATTCTAACGGAGAACCAATAAACTTGTTTAAAATATGTTCGATGCGTTTTGTCAAAAATGAATCGTATACAAATTTTTTATAAGACATCAATGAACGAGAACGAAAATTTTCAAGTCCTGAATTTATTACCACGTCGGGGTAGACCAAGAAAGTTCGAAAATATTCTATTGACATCACTGTATAAAAATATCAGACAAATTACAACCGCAAAGTTCAAGGATATAATTGACTTATTACGATATATAACACCGGAACATCATGATTTCTTTAAATCCCTTTCACATAGACAAAATGTAGATGAGTAGAAAATTGTTTTGTAATTTATGTTTGTAAAAAATGTTTTCAATCGCATAATTTATGTTTTTAAAGTGTTATAAAGATATGTAAAATAAAATGAGTATTGTTTTTTTTTTTTTCAATTTGAARCATCWTAAATTATGTTTAATGGAYTTCGGYTCCWTCAAATTTTATAACGAATCTGGTTGTTAATTTTGAAAGTGGCCTAACTCCATTCTTGGTAAGAAAACGCATATTATTCAYTTAATAATTGCCATTATTTTAATGAGAACTGTAAATTTAACACCTTTAGATACACTTAAGCAGCATAACTCATTGGTATTCTGTACGTATATATTTTTTTGAAACACAAAACCGTAAATATCTCTATTTAAGTATATATGGACTTAAGCCACTTTCAAAATAAACGGCTCATATATAAAAAGGGAAAGTTTAGAAAATTGTTCTTTTGAAAAGTTTTGCGCGACACTTTAAAAAGTATAGTATAGTCGACTTTATGGTTAGTCGTTTAATTTCTAACAACGATCGTTCGTTGTCGTGGTTGACGCGTGTCAAAGGTGTTCTTCTTACTTACCTATCTACCAACCAACACAAACACACACACACACACATTACTTACTTACATATATACACGCAATATTATACCTGCAAATCTTTCTTTATTCGTGCACAGTTGCTCGTTTTTAATTCAACGTTAAAATGATTTAATAAACGACTAAGGGAATGAACGATTTAAAATGCGGAAGTGGTGTTGTTGTACACGTTAAAATATACACACATGTATAAATGTGTTATAACTGAGTTTACGAAAGTTCATTGGGCTCGAGGGGGGGGGGGTTAGGTAGAGGAGGAAAGAAGGTTCGATGCCCCCGTAGATACTAAAATAAGACTTCAAATCGATAATCGCGAAAAGAGCAACGAAATTTCTGGTTGCAGGGTGTGAAGAGGAGTGGAGAAGATGAAGAGGGGGTGTAGGGGGGGGCGGGAGGGCGTGCATATAATATTTTTTCGTTGGAACGTTTTTAGAATTGTACTAACGTTTTATTTTTTTTATTTTTCTTCTTCTTTATTTACTTCAAATTTCTTCTTTTTTTTTTTTATCTTTTATTATTATTCTATAATGGAAAATTTATATGGAAAAAAATTTCAAATAGAAAACTAAATTTAGTTAATGTAATTATTATTCATCGACGTGTTTTATTAAAATCGTTTAAAAGTATATACGCGACTGAAAGGATATTAAAGATAGATAGATAGATAGATAGATAGATAGATAGATAGATAGATGTGGATATATTTAGAGATAAAAGTTAGTTATTGCAAACCCTGTTTTAAATCGTTGTCGTCTTTCTATACAAGAACTTGCAACGTACTTTATTATCGATCCGATTTGATTCGGTGGTGGTAGTGGTAACACTGTTCGCGCGTGATAGAAAGAAAAAAAAAAAAATTGTATTTATAAATACACGGTCTTGTGTTTTTTTTTTTTCACTCTCTTTTTTTCTTTTTTTCTTTTTATCGCAACATTCGAATATTATCGTTTCATTCGGATCGATCGATAAAAAAATTAAAGAAAAATATCTATTATTAATAATGATGTGTGTGTGACATATGTGTCACAATTTTTTTTTTTTTTATTAGATTATACTAATTATTATATAATTATCGTATTATATCGTTTTATTTGAAGTTTTATTTCAACGTAAGTTAAAAAAAAAATGTTTCAAATCGTTTCGAATAATATTGTGATATTATAATATTTATACGTTAATTAAATCTCAAAATTATATATTAGAAAAATATTGTTTAACGAAATAATATTCGATATTAGTAAAGCCAATTTATTCGCGCGTTATATTTTTTCTTTTTCTTGCTTTCTTATTTTAAATGTAAATATTCAATGTGTAAATTTACTCAAATTAAGATCATTGTAGGGTTGCTATAGCTTTTCGCATAACTTTAGCCTAATTCAATCTAGTCTGATCTATGGATAGATAGATTCTTATCACCTTTAACAAAAAGTGTCATTTAAATTTAAATACAAATTCAAATTAGATGAAATATAAAATTTACAAGTCTTCGAGTGGAGGGAAAACAAAAAAAAGAAAGGAAAAAAAAACTGAATGTTCAATTGGGGAATACAATTTTGGTAAATATTATTTTTACACCTTTTTCTCAAATAATTCTGTTCAATTATTTGCCAAATAATAACAAATTGTTTGTTTTAAAAAAAAGAAAAAAAAAAGAAAAAAAAAACAAACAAAACTAATGTAAACTAAATTAAAACTAAACGTAACTATATATATATATATATATATATATATCGAGAGATAAGAAATATTTATTTTAGTCTATACTTTGAAAATTGTTATTATGTCTATTCTGCATCTATCGAAGTCTAGTATCCTTTAGGGATAATACATACCTATCTACAAGTAATGCTTATTCAACGAGGACGTGACTCGAGTGGTTCGACTACTACTTAGGTTCAAATCGTTATTTCGATGGTACTATACAGATATATCGGATCAAATTGATGTTAACTCAAAAATTGTGTAATATTCATAAAAAGTTGTAATAAAATTATATCAAATTTACTATTATATTATTAATTTTTTTTTTTAATATATATATATATACTAAAACTCCACGTACTATTTTATTAAATAAATTTCTTCTCATATATATTCTAATTAGTACTTTAAATATCTCGTAGAAAATATTGTAAAATAAATCTATTATACATACTTAATATATATATAAATTGAATATACTAAATTTGACTGGACTACCGCAATGTCCGTTATGTTGACGGTAGATTGATTCATCCGATCAAGTTACAGGAACTTCTTTTGCGAGGGCAATAAATCTGTCAATCAATGTCTGATTTCACTTTCATACTTCTATATATATATATATATACCT